GTTTAAAGGAAGGACAATGGCTTTTTTCCAAGAGGTCGGGAATATTGAATTCTGCAGGGAGAAATTGTAGATGAAAAGGAGTGCTGGGAGGATTTCAGGGAGACATAATTTTATTAGTTTGATAGGAATGCCATCTGGGCCTACGGAATTGGAACGGGATTTCATTATAACGGTAATAAGGTCTGTGGGAGAAATGTCGGAAAAATAAAAATTATTGTCGTTAAAAGGTACCTCTGGAGGAAAGCCGGAAGGGGATGGTAAAGAAGAGGTGGAAACCGATATAAAGTGGGAGTTTAGGTCATCAGGTGATATTGGGAAAACTGAGGAAGGGGATCTAGAAGGTTCACAGAGGGAAAGCTTACGAAGTAGAAGCCATTTTGATTTGATATCAGGAGCTGAGGAAAGGGCTTCGTGAAAGTAGTTCGCTTTCGCTTGTCGGATCCTTGTCTGCGGCGTGTTACGAAGCGCTCTGAATATTTGATAATCATCTGCAAGCCTAGTCCGTCTGAAGCGTCTGCGTGCAGCGTCGCGTCTCTTCTGCAGATCCTTAATTTCCTGACACATCCAAGGAGCAGGGCGATGATGGAAAGTGGAGGTTTTGAGAGGAGCGTGGGTATTGAGTATATTGAGAAGATTGGTGGTGAGAATATCAACCATGGTGTCGACAGAGGAGCAATGATATATTCCATTCAAATCCAATGTTACTAGATCAGGTAATATTTTTTCTCGAGTAAGGGTATCCAGTTGGCGGAAAGTGATAGTTCGAGGATGGATTGGAGGAGTGCGGATATTATATGTTATTTGTATCAGATCATGAGATGAAAGAAAGGATACTGGCAATTGAGAGGCAGAGAGGAGGTTTTGTGCTGAGTCGATGATGTAGTAGTCTAGCCAAGTGTCAGATCTGGTGGTGTGGTGGGTGGAGGAAAAAGGAACGATGAATAGGTGAAGTGAGAAAAACAGATTTTCTAAATAGGATTTGTCATTGGAGTTTGAGAGGAAATTGGTATTGAGCACTAGGAGATGAGGAAGACGATCATAGATGATCAGGTCTACAGAAGAGTAAAGGCTTTTAAATACCTCGGATCCTATCTGGACGATGTGGGGGCATCGGAAGTGGATGTTCGAAACAAGGTAGAGATGGCAAGAAAAGCAGCTAGAATTCTGCATCCTGTTCTCTGGAACAACACTATTTCAAACGTGGACAAGCAGTTTATCTTCACAGCTATTGTTGAGTCCATATTAACCTATGGATGTGAGGCATGGTCGATGAATGCTAGCTTGTATGCCAAAATTTGAACTGTAGAAATGGATTTTTGGAGAAAGTTTCTCCAGTTAACGAGGCTGGACAGAGTCCGAAATGAAGTGGTATGGTAGAGAATAGGTGTATATGAGACCCTTTGAGAGGATCAGAAAACGGCGGTTGAGGTGATATGGGCACTGCAGAAGAATGCTGGAAGAGCATTGGCTGAACTGAGTCCTGGACTGGCAGTCACCTGGAGGACATAGGCGAGGACGACCCAGAACCATGTGGATGGAAGGAGACTGGGAGAATAGAGATGTTTAGAGCTCAGTTCTGACCCACGTTGGAACACTGAAAATAAGTAAGGAATTAAGAAAAAATAAAACTAAACCCCTCTTTTGGGCCCCCATTGAAAAGTAGCAATCAGAAGTTAAAATAACTTTTAAAATAATATATAAGAATCGTAAATATGAAAAATCTAAATAGTGAAATTATTCATTTATGGTGAATTATCATACTTTAAATGGCATAATATCATAATTATTAGACACATTATGAGAAACAGGGATTTCGTTGCATATAAATCCAGGCCTTAAAGAAAGTCCACTTAAAATCAGCTTTGAGAAGGACTAAGGTTGGTTGAGGTTTGTGATATCCAAATAAAAAGGACAAAATACATCAATTATGCAAAAAGAAAAAGTTAAAATTGCAGATTGAGGTTTCTCAGCAGCAAACCTGAGGTTTTTATTACCAACTCCCATTAATGTACACAATGAACAAGGCCTTAACACTTCGATGGTCGCTAGCCTCAGAGTCACATGGAAGGTCGTTACGAATCTGAGATCCACTTCACTAAATTAATTTATTGATCAAAGATATCAACAAATTTTTCATTGCTCTGAAAGTTAAAGATATAATTGAAGAGAAAGATGGTTGGGGTGATCAGTCAAAATAAAATATTAAAAATAAATAATTGCATTTATTTTCACATTCACCGAAGTTCAGGCCTTCAGTATTGCATTATCTTTGCATTATGCTATTTCCTTAATTTATTCTATTTTATATTATTACACTATATTTATCCTTATTTTATACTATGTTACATTATACTTCCTCTTTATTTTTAATTCTTTTTCATTTTCCGTCATCATGCTTTGCACATAGAAGATTAATACTCCACTATTATTTAATGTTCATTACCTCTGCATTACACCATCTCCTTAATTGCCTTATAGATAGACTTACTCATTTCCGTTCAACCTTCAGTTTTCTTTTTCTTTAATCTCATTAAAGAAACTCATTTTTGTTTTCTTTAATCTCACGTTTCAGGTACAGATATTCTATTATAAATAAATTATATATTATCTATAATAAATCTCTCGTCCATCATATACGTTCCTGTGCTTTAGTTCGCTTTTTTCGGTTGGCCGTTACAGAGGGCGCTATCTGCCAGCTTCCCTCCCTCTAGTTACAATACGTCTGTCTGTCTATCTACGCTTCTTAATAGAGCAGGTTCATTTACTTCTCTTATCTTAGTTTTCTCCATCTCTTCCTCCTTCCCGTCACTCTATTTTCCATATCTCCATCTCTATTTAGTATGTATTGATACATTTGCTCATTCATCCTTTTAACATTATTTTAACTTTTTATTCTCTTATACATAGTCAGTATTTTTGATATATTTTGCAATATCTTAATTTTATATTTGTATGTATTATTTCCTTATATAACTTCATATTTCTTTTCTCTGTTTTACACTTTATTATAAGAAGACCATTTTTCATAATTGTGGGTAAATGGTTGACTGTCGTGAATAATGAAGAGAAGAATAGTTGGGGTGATTAGTCAAATAAGAAGGCAAAAATAAATGATAATATTTATTTTTGCCTTCTTATTTGACTAATCACCCCAACTATTCTTCTCTTCATTACCATTTTTCATTTCTTATGTTATCTTATTTTGATTATGTTCATTTCATTGGTCTGTGCTTTGTTACTGTTATTATTATTTATTTCTTAGTTCTCTGTTACTGTTATTATTCTACCAACCTTATTTTAATTTAATTTTCACTCTATCTACTTCATTTTACATTAAGTTTTTCTACCTTAAGTTTAGTCCATACCTTTCACTTTTTTAATTTCAATTCTTTATTATCCAATGTTTATTGTTTCTTATATCTATTGTTATCTGGTTCTTTTCTTAGCCCTGATGAAAGCCTGAACTTCAGTAAATGTGAAAATAAATACAATTATTTATTTTTAGTATTTTATTTTGACTGATCACCTCAACCATCCTCTCTTTAATTATTCACTACAGTCAACCATCAACCAAAAATTAATAAAAGATGTAAGATGAGTTTTTTAAATATATTTATTGAGTAAAAAACAGTTATATAATTATAAAAAAATATTAAAAATCAAAACGAAAAATACATTGACAAAATTAGGAACTTGGACATTAAATTCTGTCTACCATTAAATAAGAACACAAAAAGCACTGAATACTAGGAAAAATAGTAATAGGATTTAATTGAATTAAAGATTATCAATATAAATGTCATCACAATATTCAGATCAGCCTCTAAAGACCTCCAATTTCTCATCGATAGTCACATCTGCTCCAACTGAATAACAAGATCGGCAGTTTCTGAAAAACTTTTTAAATATGTCCCGGATAGGTACCACTCGGTCTATTTCTTTACATCGTTGACGTGTTTCTCAGTTGTCAAATCTTAAATATCAAAGTAAAAATAAAAAACTTCGTACACTCATAGCATGACAAAATATCTCGATTCCAAAGCCTCTTGAATCTCACAAATCATCCAGATTTTTTTTTCCCAGCTTTGTGCATTCTTGCAATATATAACAGCCCAATAAAGGTTTTTATTTCAATTATACCAGTTGTCATTGCATTCCATTCTTGTGAAAAATTTCCATGCACGCCGTCAGTTTTGGTACAAAAATTGGATGCAAACAGGTCACATCACAACTGGATTATAAGACTCCAAGAGCTAGGAGAATACGTGGAGGGAGCGTCCTCTCCTAGCAAGCGGTATAAAAACACATTAAATAGATGCTCAGCGGATCTCTCAGATCCGGTGCGACCGTCTGAGTGTTAAGCTACACCAAAGAATAGATAGATAAAAGGATAATAGGATAAGTGATAAAAGCTTATTTAGTAGAGCAAATACCAGTTGGTAATAACAGTAGAAAAATATGAATTATGATATATGTTAATGCAACTTTTAGAGTACTCTAAGAGAAATAAAATTAACTTATATGGTTAGTTAATATTATAATTGAACTTCATAAGTTCAATTAGGACAACCAGCTATATTGTTTATTTGATTTTTTCATTGTTAGATTCAGTGGTCATCATGGTTGTAAAATACTTCTCAAATTAGGAAATAGCATTACGTCAGTTAATCAATGTTTGATCAGTTAGTTAGTCCAAGTTCATTAATAAACTATTGTTATAATTTTTCCTTTGTTTAAAAATCTTAAGTGTATTTATTAGTCATTTTTATGATAAAATGTGAACTGAAGGTATAAATAAAGTTAATAGTCTAAATCATCATGTTTGAATTAACATAAGGTCCTTAAATACAGTTATCATATATGAAAGAAAGAAATTAGCTACTAAATAATTACGTAAGCTAAATAAATAATTAGCTAAAGTATCTAATTTTATTGAAACTGATTATGTTAGTATGAAATATAAAACAAACACTTTGAAAAATCCATTACAGATTGAATACCTCTTCATCCCTTTTTCGAAGATCAGACTGCACTTCTTCAAACTCTTCTTGACCTTCATTAGGTGACATTTTGCACCCCTCTCTCAACATCTTAATTCCAAATATTGCAAATAAAGCTGTCGAAATATAATAAGTATAAGCCCTAGGAATTATAGTTGCTGCCCAACCAAACACAACTAAAACAAAACATTCTTAATAATATAAACATTATTTAAATTTACTAAGAATGATTATTTAGAAATATCACACATTTTCTAGAAGTGTCTCATATCCAAGCCAGTGAAATAAATACACTATACCTTCCAAAACAGCATTAATAGAATCAGGGAGGGGGATAGCTCAGTAAAAAAGGCACATTATTCTCCAGGTACCGTGATCGAGTCCGGCAGTGGCATGAATTTATTTATTTTGTTACACCAGCCATGGATCAACCCTGGGATTGGAAGACCTCCTTGAGGCACACCCATCCTTTATAAAGTGGGTACTTTTCATTAATTAAGTAAGGAGAAAAACCTGGCAGTTGAGCATAGTCTTGTTCAAATCACCTCCTTACACAATTGTTGACAAAGAAACAAGAAACCTTACAAAGTACTGAACCCAAGATCCATTATGGGTTGTAGCACTACAGATATTTTTCGAATAGTTGTAGGTTGAAGTGATGAGGATAATATATTATTAATAGTAACAGATATTATTGGATTTGCCAATATATTTTATTTAAAGACATTTTAGAGACTTCTAAGCCATTTAATTATAAAATGCCCATATCCACTGTCAATTTTTATTTTATAATCTATAATGAACTGTTAATTATAATTTATCAATCTGTAAAAGCTATAAATTATAATTATAAATTGACAAAGATATAAATTAACTTTCATAATGTCCTGATTTACTTATAAATCTATAATTATTTTTAAAAAAAGCTTTTTTAAACAGTTTAGCACAGCAAAACAAGTTAGGAAGTACATGGACTCTTAGCTTGATGAGAAATAATCACTAGTAAAACTAAATATAAAAACTAAAAAACAATTGGAGCATTGGAAAATCAACCATTTCAATAAAATTTCCCAAATGTTTAACATTTTAATTAAAAAACAACAACATAGTTTTAAGGTTTCTAACTAAAGATCTTGAAGAAAAAAAAAAATCAATTTTCATTCATACATGTATGGGTGGTCGTATAGAAGAAATAATATCGAAAAACTTTTTCAATGAATGCAATTTTCTCAAATGTTTTCAGATCACTGCTTTTTAGAAAAAAAAAACTGGTGAGGAGCAGGTATCACACAACTTTCATTTAACACCCTACTCTGATTAAAAATAGGTACTTCCCTACATAGGGAAGTGAAAGTAAAAAATTAGATGACATAATGTATTCATCTAAACAATTTATTACCTCATTTTCCCAATTACCTAATCAGTTAAATTTATGTATTTTTTGTCAAAGTCCATTTCCTTCTATGACTGTATATATTAATTATTAATATATTAACAAGGTTACCACAGAACCGCTGGTCTATAATATAACACATACATTGAGAACATTTTTATTATTAGAGGACACATCTAGTTAAGGCAGAGATAAAGGAGGCCTCTATATGTCTTTACGTTTCCTTTTGAGTATTTTTATTTATTTAAACATAGGCATACAAATTTTAATTTTCATATAAAATATTAATGAATACCAGAACTAAGCATTTATGAAGACAAACACATACTATCAGAGCCAGTGTATTCCTCACCTATAATATAGGATCTCATGAATGTGTTATGTACAAAAGCAATTTAATCTCTCAGCCACACTTAGAGCCTTCATTAGTTCTCAGTCCCATCTGACTAGCCCTTATTTCTCCTTTAGATAGTTATCAAATTCTTTCACAGTTTATATTTATACTTTTTTTATATCTAGTACAATGGTGCCCTCTCAAGGGATCAGAATCTGCATAGGCATCTTAAAGAAATATCAGTGCAAAGAAGTCCTTGATTGAGCATGCAGAACAGCAGGCAAGGAGAGGAGGCTTTTACAGCTTTGACTTTGACTTGCTAAGTAGTTAATCAAAAATCTCTCTTCACCAAGAACTACTAAGCTGTTGGGCCTAAAGAGAAACAAAATCTAATTAATTATTGAAGTATTCACAGACTATTGCACACTTCAAATACATGTAAAGACTCGCATAAAAATTGGTCATGAAAAGTCCCATTTGGGTAGACAAGCATAGCAAACTGCCTTACACTATACAAGATAATGACCAGTTTGCGTTGGTAAGATACAGTATTCTGGGATCTGATAAAAAAGCTTTTGCCATTAAATGATCCTCCTTTATGAACTTCAACAGGTAAACCAAATGGTTTGATATGGAGATAGAGGAAAAATAAGTCTCAATAGGTATAATATTTGGGATATGGAAAATGGACCAATAGGTCCACTTAGCGGACCTGTCCCCCAGTCTTTAACAGCATCATTACCAGTGGATATAACCATTTACTGAGAAAGCTTTTAGTCTTTAATAACATCATACAATGACCCAGAGGAATGGAGCATTAATCCTAAGCATCAATCAATCTGGGACACTATTGGCAATTATACAAATGACTTTACACATTCAAAGATTATCTGCATAAAAATTAAATTTTGAAACTCAAGAATAACTTGTTCCAACACTATTCTCACTGGTTTTCCATACACATATAAAAAATCTGGTACAACTTTCACTTACCACCCCCTTCTTAGCAGAAATGAGTATTTTCAGACAAAGGAGAAGTGAAAGTAAAAATTATAGACGCTATAATTATTTATATTTCATTGTGGGTATTTTTATTTTATTTGTATAAGTACCCTTATATATATATATATATATATATATATATATATATATATATATATATATATATATATATATATAATAATAATAATAAGGCTTAGCGAACCCGAAGGTTCGATGCCGACACCACCAATCGCTTGTTACACACCTCCCTCCACCGTTCGCCGTCCAAACCCAGTTCCTTCAGATCGGCTTTAATGCAATCTTCCCACCTTCGCTTCGGTCTACCCCTCGGACGCTTACCAGTCGGCACAGCAAATGTTAACCTTTTAGGAATTCTCTCGTTACTAAGCCCAACAACTTTACAAGCCCATTTGATTCGCCGCGATGAAATTACCTCAATTATATTACCCGGATACAGCTCACGCAATTCGGCGTTGTGTAACCGTCTGAACTCTCCGGTTAACTCATCCTTCTTCGGTCCGAATATTCTACGCAATACTTTATTTTCAAAAACCTTAAGACGCTGCTCATCTCTTAATGTAAGCGGCCAAGTTTCGCATCCATAAAGAACTGTAGGCAAGATAATTGTTTTATAGATTCTAATTTTTAAGTTGCGGGACAAGAGGCGCGAACTAAGTAGTTTTGCCACAGAAAAATAACAAGCATTTCCCGCATTCAGTCTAACCTTAATCTCTTCTTCAATTTCGTTTTTTCTAGTTATCGTTGAACCTAGATACCTAAATTTATCTATCTGTTCAAACATATTACCTTCTATATCGATGTCACCAGTAGTATCGCCATTTTTGCAGCTAACCATATATTTTGTTTTATCCACATTTATTTTGAGTCCTAGTTCTTTACCGGCTTTCATTAACGTTGTCGTATTTAGTTTTATAGTTTCAAGGTCTTCGCTTAACAGTACCAGATCATCAGCATAGCCCAGCACGGATGTTGTACCGCCCAGATCCAACCCTTTCTCGGTTCGCATTACCTCCCTAATGGCATGTTCTAAAGCCAAATTGAACAGGACAGGCGAAAGAGAATCTCCCTGTTTTAAGCCCGAACGAACCTCAAATATATATATATATATATATATATATATATATATAAGGGTACTTATACAAATAAAATAAAAATACCCACAATGAAATATAAATAATTATAGCGTCTATAATTTTTACTTTCACTTCTCCTTTGTCTGAAATATATATATATATATATATATATATATATATATATATATATACAAATTTTAAAATTTATATCAATGTAATCGATACAATGAAATATTAAATAATACCAACAATAGCATTTATGAAAACTGCATATGTATATTAATATAAATTGTCGGAGTCCATATTATATTAAGCTCATGTTACATATGGAAGCCTGTTATAATCTTTTGGGCAAGCTCGAGTGCGATCAATTACAACTATTCTCCATTATGGTTTTTTATTTCTCTTTTAGTTAATTATCAAATTCTTTCAAATTTTATATTTAACTATCTTTTATATTAGAGATTAATATGAAATAGTCCATTGTATAAATAAAAAAAATTACAGGTACTTTAGAGGAAGCTAATATTGAAAATTAGCCATTTAAACCCTCCTAGAGAACATCAATCAGAATAAAATCTACATTTTCTTTAAAACAGCTTAATTTTACACTGATATAATGAATTTAATCAAAATTGTTAGAGCCGTTTCAGAGAAAATTGTAAAAATGAGTTTAGGCCAAAATATGAAGTGCCACTTCCGGTTACTTGATTTTGATGAAAAAGTTACTGTAACATCCCTAGCATATAAAAACTTTAAATATGCAATTTCACTTTCTTACGACTTTTCGTTTTTAGCTAGACTGTTAACACAGACACACACACACACCATTTTGTGGGATTTGTACTCAGGGGACCTCAAAACGTGTATTTCCGTTAAAAACTGAGATTCAAAAATTTTCACGATCGCAATACTTCACTATATATTTCATATATATAGGTAAGTGAAAGTAAGCAGGAAAACAAATCTAAAAGAAATTAATTTAGAGAACAATACAATAAACTATTAGCTAAATATTGATTTAATTCATTTAAAAATTTGACACAAAATTAAATGAAAAAGAACATATTATTCAGATTAGCACACCTCAGAAGTATCTTATCTACTTTTAGCTTGTCTTGAAAACTAAAAACCATAAATAAAAAATATCACTGCAAGTAAAACATACATTCCATAAAGGAATGAATGTGCCAACTAATATATTGATGTTAGTTGGTAGTCATGCTTCAGCTAACACAATTTTTGTCATGTTTATTTAATTGAATAACTTTTTATTTATTTTTTATTTATTTATTTATTAGACATATAATATTCTGTCACAGGGACAATAATTATATTGATAAATGAACACATCCACACCGTATATACAAAAAAGAAATAAAATTAACAAAAGTAAAATAATAACTAAATAATAATAAATAAAAACTATATACAATGAAAAATAAAAGAACCTAAATATAAGTAAACTAAAAACATAAAAATACAGTCATACCTATATACAATATATACAATCAGGCGGGGAACCCAAATCCCTGCGCTACTCTCTCAATCGCCTCACCGGTGCTAAAGCCGGTGGAGTTTGAGCGAGAGCGCTTTAGCCACATACACTCATTTCTTGAGTGGAGAATCTGGCCATTGCCAGAACTCCAAAATAAATACTATAAAAGATCTCTGGGCCACTGCCGCTTCAACCTTCGAGGAGGGTTGTATGGATGAGTGGAACTAGATAGGGATTGGGCTAGGGGATTTAGGTGATTGATAAGGTTCTGATAGAATTTTGAAAAATTTTCTGGGATAAGGTCAAGGACAAATGGGATATTAAGGTCATGATGTAGGGTTTTGTTGGTTACATAGAACGGAGCATCGTCTATTGTTCGGAGGACTTTGGATTGAAAGTATTGGAGGCATTTGATGTTAGAGAATTTTGCTGTCCCTCAAAGTTCAAGTCCGTAGGTCCAAATGGGTTTCAGGATTGTCTTTGCTGTCCCCCAAAGTTCAAGTCCGTAGGTCCAAATGGGTTTCAGGATTGTCTTGCAGATCAGTAATTTTTTGTCAATTGAAAGTTGAGATTTTCTGGTCAGTAGTCTGTATAATTGGCCGTATCGTTGGTTAAGTTTTTGTCTTTTAAGTCTAGTATGTGGGTTCCACGTTAGTCTTCGGTCTAAGATAAAGCCAAGATACCGGACTGTGTCTGAAAAAGGAAGCTGGATGGAATTAAAGTGGACCGATTGACAGGATCTGCGGCGGAGTGTGAAGGTAATGTGTTTGCATTTGGATTCGTTTACTTTGATGCGCCATTTATTACACCAGTGCTCAATCATGGAGAGGTGCCTTTGAAGATTTAAAGATGCTATTTCGGGATCTGAGTTGGATGATAGGATGGCGGTGTCATCAGCAAATGTTGCCAGGAAGGTATTGGGATGGACAGGTATATCGGCGGTAAAAAGGATATAAAGAACGGGACCCAACACGCTACCTTGAAGAACACCGGCTTCAACTGGGTAGGAGTTGGAAAATTCTGAACCACAGCGAACCCGAAAGGTATGATCAGAGAGGTAGGAGCGGAGGATTAGGTACAAGGGCTGGGGTAGATAGGTTTTCAGCTTGGAAAGAAGCCCGGCGTGCCATACCCGGTCAAAAGCTTGAGCTATGTCCAGAAAAGCACCCGAGCAATATTGCTTGCTTTCCAGTGCTGCGGAAATATGATCGACTACTCGGAGTCCTTGTTGGACTGTGGAGTGTTGTGAACGAAATCCGAACTGATGGGAAGGAAGATTTTGGGATTCTATAAAAGGTAGGATTCGTTTCAGGAGGATCTTTTCAAAGATTTTCAGCTTACTTATTAAATTTATTTCAAAAGTGATATATATAGCTCCTAAGAATCATATAATCTGTATGCATTATAAAAAAACATTTCCACAACAAATACATTAGAATACAGTAAAATTTACCTGACAGAACTGTCATGAGTGCCAAAGCTGATATAGCACCAGTAAAAACAGTTAGACGAGAGTGTTTCATTGACATGATTGCAGCAATGAAAAATGTTTTATCGCCAATTTCAGAAACAACAATCATGGAAAGTGATGCTAAAAATCCATGAATGAATCCAAGAGGACCATGTTCAACCTGAAATAAAAAATATTAATTTATTAATTTTAAAAGAAGAATGGAGACTAATTATCTGGAATAAAAATATACTTAATTAATTATTATCACGTGTCGATTTGATACTGCATGATATTTCAGTTATAAAAATAATTTTAATGTAATTTTTTGTTCCTATTAGGTGTCTTAAGCCAGACCATCAATAATAAAACCTAGGGTGGGGAAACTTCCCCCTCTTACCTGGCATATATTTGTGAAATAAAATAATTTTAATGTCATTTTTAGAAAGCATAGATCACGTCTAATAAATAAATATATATACATATATATATATATATATATATATATATATATATATATATATATATATATTATTAATTTTTTTTAACGGTAGTCCCTTTATATCAAAATCGGTTTTGTTTAAATCTAGATTTTTTAAAAAATGTTTATTTTCTCCCGCTGGGAGGGCAGGATAACCTGTCAGAGTTTAAAGCTCCTATAGCACCAGGACGCGAACTCGTGATTATTATATCTTGTAAACATCTGTTTATCATGTTGCCGGGCAACGCATGTTTTGCCTCCCACTCTAAGTTAATTTATCGAATTAGAAATTTGTAAATCGAATTGATGTGAGAAAAGTTCCTTCTAAACTCTCAACTTTTTTCTTCCATACCTTCTACGTACCGACATTTCTAATTCGAAACCAAATAATAAAATGATCAAAAACAAAACATAAAAAAGATATTTGGCAGCTCAAATGATTTGAAACTTATATTTAAATTCCCAGGAAAGTATTTATACATCTATTTTCAAAATAAAATAAAAGAAAATGTGACCTGAATGACGATGATCAGTTTTGTACTTTTATTTATGTTTTAATCAATTATTTAACGTTTTATTTTAGCGGTCGAATAGTTTTTCAAATAGTTAAATAAGTTAAATTTTTCAATATAAACTACAAGAATTATAAGTAATTTTTTCAAGATAAGAATAGTTCAAACTGCTTCCTCATAAGGGAAGCTTTGCATTCATGACTGAGGTTAAAACATTTTGTGTGCACGGAATCGTAAATTTCTACTCGCGTATTACTTTTAGATATCAAGAAACAAATTTGATTCCTTATCAACTCCGTATTCATCCGTATCCATATGATGGGTAAATCGAATACTACCGTTTTTCATGAAAGTTTCAGAGACCGAGCGGGTTGATGTTTAGATGGTTCCATATAAATATCATCCAATTCCACTTCACACTTCACACTTACAAGCACGTACATGTATTTTCTTAGATATGCCAATATTTCAGAAATAATCCGTTCGATTTGGGCTAAAGCTAGAAGAAAGTTGAGTGTTGGTGAAAAAATGATACAATATCAATCTTACTGAAGTCCATTAACTAATTTCTCGTATATATGCGCAAATGTATTTTTCTTGAAACACCCGTTCGATTTGGCTCAAAATTGAAGGAAAGATTGATAAACACAAAATCTAGTAGGTAACAAGGTTACCAAGTTCCATCCATTGCATTAAAAAAATACATTAGCTTTCGAATCTGCAAATATATGCCTATAGCTTGAAAACAACTATTTTGATTTGACACAAATTTAGAGAAACATGAAGTAGTTTTAATCGACTATAACCAACTTACGCCTTGGACTTAAGTCCCATAACAAACTTTCTTTCCTTTTCACCAACTTGAAGGATTCCATACTCTTACAACACCGATCCAATGTAGTTTACCGGATACCTTGCTCTACTCCTAATTGCAATAGCTCTTATATTGGTGAAACCAAAAACTATCTCGAAACTCGCATTTCCCAACATAAAACGTCCATAACTTCTCGGAATCCTTCCGCCTCCAAACTATCAGAACATGCTTTAACCCTCAACTACTCATTTGATTTTGAGAAAACCTCTATCCTTTCCACAGTCCCTAACCATGAAAAAAGACTCATTTCCGAATCTATCCACATTCACATGGAACAGAATCCCGTTAATCACAAAGTAGACAACTGTGTTTCTCTTACATATAGACACATTTTAAGTCTTTTAAGTGAAAAATAACTTAAATATTCTATTCTATTATTTTCATCTACTCTCTATTTTTATTAATTAATTCATTTAATTGTTCATTATTCTAAATATTCCTTCTTTGTATGATCTCTCTTCTATTTTATTCTAAATTTACATTTACACTCTACACCAATGTATGATCATACTTTTCCCCACTTTGTATTAATTTTACTTATTAGCCATATCTCGTCTCATTATCTAATATTCAAAGGTAATTTTCTTACATATGTACAACCAAATATAATTATAAGTATTAACTTTTTTCCTTCTCTATACTTTTAAGTTAGCTCTGCAATGTATGTATGTTAATGAAGTTATTTCTATATTTATATTTTACTTTTGCCAATTTTGGGTTTATTCACATTGTACTCTGATCTTGAATCATGAAATACCTCTCACATCTCTCAACTCTATTTTATATATTTATAATTTAATATTTCATAGATATAGTATTTTTCCATTGTATCCATCCATATCTTCAAAATTTCTAGATACTGTAATTTCCTGGGTTTTTCAAAGTTTACTTAGTTAACACATGTTACCTTCCCCTATACCTGCAATCCTTACCGCTGCCTTTCCAGTTCTAAGTGAAACTCCTAGATGAACACACCTGTAAGTCTCTAATTTTATTTCTCTCCTGTAGATTTTGTAGAAGTATATTCACATTTTCATTTGTTATGTATTACACTACAACAATTGTTAGCATCTATTTACTTTAGTTTAGGATCTTGTTACTCAGCTTACTTAGTACATATTTTATTGTACTTACTGTTTATAATTTTAATAAGCTCATTCACATTGTTTATAAATTATGTTTAAATATTATGTAATTGCCACAATTCTCTATCATTTTGTATCTTGTCCGTTCTAGCCCTGAAGAAGGCCTGCATAGTCGGGTCGAAACGTTGGCTTTCAATAAAATAGTTTTACCACTATTTAGCCTGTTTATGACTGCAACCCCGGACCATCTCTTTCCTTTAAAATTAATATAAATAACAGTTAAAATAATAAGAAAATTATAATGGCTGCGAAATTTGGTAGGCACTCAATATAAGGAAAGAGGTCACGGACACATACATGCATTTTTGAACTAGTTATTGTTGAAAGGTAAAACGTAGCATCAATAATTTTTAAATATGTACAAACCTTCTTTTAATGTACTTTTTAAACTTCACTCATATTCTTATATTCCTTCTCAAATTAGTTTTGATGTGACTAATGAAAAAAATTGGTTTTGTTAACACCAAGCAAACATAAAATTGAATATTTTCAATTAATTTTTGTTCCACCTATTTTAGGAATGAAAACATACAAGTACATAAGCATGTTCGTTCAATGCGTACATACAAACAGTATTAGGAATTGTTTGATTTCATGATTTTTTTTTCGTAATCACGAATAGTAAAATACGAAATTCACAAATGTGAAACTCATCGGCATTTTTATATTACACGGTGGGCCAGATCCCTCTATCGTGCCCCCCCCCCCCCCCCACATCCCTATAAATTGCATATCGTTGTGTTCCTTGTAACTATTCATTAAAAAAAAAAGCCAATGTTCCTACAAAAAAAGTGAACGCACTGCCCCAAAATGGCGTCCAAAGATGGCGGATTGACGACTTTGACTTTAGTTAGTTTTTTGGTCACTGAGATTCAGCATTTGGCTTAATTTCCTCATGATTGGTCTTTTATTAAAGCTGAATAGTCAGAAAACAATAAAACATTGAAAAATAATTTGCTTAGGCAAAAAAACACCAGTGAACTCAAAAATTTTAACAAATAAATTTTCAAATTTAAAATAAAGCGTCGTTTGTGATTAAACGGCCAACAATAACGCAAAATGTGCTGAAATAAAACATCTGGAGAATATATTTCTCTTTCTAAAACACTGATTACTTTTTAAAATATTTGAAGTAGTTCTGTAGAAAATGCACTTATGCGGGAGAAAAGCGGTGCCGGCGTAGGTGCCTACAAGCCTCTACCACACCATTCTGTACACATAAATGGCTTAGTTATAGTGATATAATAACGTCTTTGTTACATTATATTGGTTTTATTAACGAACAATTATTAATGCAATAATTTAATTGCCAAAAAAAATTAAACAATTTTTTTTAAAAATTATTATTTTATTTTATTTTTTTATTTAACTTACTTTATTCTATACGGAGGTCTTTTAAGTAGACATCTATTGTAAAAATGATAAAATTATAATAATAAAACTTAATTAAAAATACTTTGCTGAATATCTTGAAATTTTTATTTAACGTTTGCAATTTAACACTTTGTTTTGTATATTTACTGATTCTTAGAGGTAATTTAAATTGTATGTACTTTCCAGGAAATGAGTCATATCAATACCTGTTTTATAAACTAAAATAATATATACCTAATCTGAACTACATATAATGAATAGTTGCCGGGTTGTTAAGTAAAACTTATTGTTATGAAATTGCGGAATAAATTGTTTGGAAGTTGGACAATGCCATAAATTAATAGGAAATTTTAATATTTAATGCATTATTCCCTCTGCACAAAGAAAGATGGAAACGGCGAAACTATAAGTTCTTTTAGTAACCGGAACTGATTGTTTGGATTTGGTCTCAAAATGAGGGAAAACGCAAAATTAAACCCAAAAATTGGAAAAATACATTAACGAAAGAGAAAGGAAGTGCCAAAATCTCGGAAAAGAAAAAAAGGACCAGAATCCATTGTATGGCTAAAACAATGTATAGTTGACAGATGAACAGAATATTTCAAGATGCTGCTAAAAGGGAGTCAAATGCTGGAGAAGTTTGGATGATCTTAAGGGAACGATGCAGGTTTATTAAGTTGAAGACGACTTTATTTTCGATTGCTACTGAAGGTGCACATTGGGACTATCTTAACTTTGAATTATTCGTAAATAAAACCAATATCATTTACCAAAGACGTTATTATATCACTATAA